TGGTTTTTTTTGTTTGTTTTGTTGTTTGTTTGTTTGTTTGTTTGTTTTTAAATCTGATCCCAACTACATGATTCTTTAGTTTCAACAGGTTTTCCTTTTTGGTCGGGTAATCCTGCTGGCGTGTGAAGGTGTGATGAGTCCAGCCAGTTTTTTCACCAGGCACTTTCAGCTGATAGAAGGGTTTCTGAAAAGCTCTCTGTAGAACTTGTTTAGATTTCAAAGTGTTTCTGTCCTGTAGCACCATCTCCTTCAGTTTTATTTATGCAGATACTGTAATATCTTCTCCTCTCTTCCTTTGATTACAGTTTTTTACTTGACAGCTGCTGTTGCCCTGCTGTCCATATGAATCTGAGCACACTCCCTCAGTGCCCCCTTCATTTGCTGCCTTTGTTTTTTGGGCCCTGGGAGGAGGAAAGGTCAAAACACACGTCCCCAATACAAAACTCTTTCCAGGCTTCCAAAATCTCTCTCTATTGCACATAAAAAAAAGGTTTAGCATCAATGCAGACCTTTCTTTTTCTGTTGTCAATAGCTCTGCTGGACAGAAATCTATCATTCACGCAGTGCCTTTCCTTTGCAAGTCAATTAGTTTCACTGCCACTATCTCCTTAAGATGGTTTAAAGGAAAATTACAAAAATACTGCACAGCCACCTTTCACAGTGATTAAGTCATATCATATTTTATGCTCACTTCTTAAAATGATTTTATTAACACAAGCTGTTCATATATTGGGATTCTGATCTGCATTATAAATCTGTTCCATTTAGTTGACTCATTTTCTCTATGCTTTGTATATTAATTGAATGGAAATTTTGTGCAGACTTAAAAACTTTTTTGCACTTTACAGTCTAATACCTCCATCTTCCATATACCTGGTCCAGCAGAGCTTGATCTGAGAGAAGCTTTTTAGCTGACAAAATAGAAAAGTACTGGTTGCAGTGGTCACGGAGCCCCCTGCGTGGCTGAGCGGTGCGGGAGAGGCTGATGCACGCACGCAGCCACCCTTCTGCTCTTGCTCCATAACTCACCCGTGGGCCAGCGCGATAGTGCAGCAACCGTTTTATCAACCAATCTCCGCTTCACATAAAGTAAACATACTGGGTGTCATTAAGTACACCTTCAGATCAATGATTTTTGCAAATGACATTCGAGTAGTGCATTTTTGCTGATAAAAGCAAATTAAATTAGCACAACTACAAGTATGCTGATAAAAACTAAAACCCAACAGCAGCACCATTAGCTAACAAAGTAATATTTTCTCTTTACTGCTTTCTGCCATTTAGTTATTATCCTATTGGAAATCTAATTATAATCCTTTTACTCCCTAGTCAAACTTCACAGTTTTTGCAAGCTTAGCACTGACAAGTGATTTCATTACATTTGATTGCCCGCGCCCAGATTGACTGAACTTCACTCCGAGACCTAAAAGCCCTCTCAGTTTCTCAGATTCCCTGTTTGCACATTACAGCAACAGCTCCTTTAATTAATTAGCATGAACAGCAGTAACATGAACTGCTGAACAGAAAATAACATCATTTTATGATCGCAGGGAGACTTCTCCTTTTGCATGTTTATACCTTAGTTAACTTTTGTATTACGATATTTCATGGTTAGGGGATGTTGGAACAATCAGCCAAGCAATATTATCTTAAAATTTTAAAAAATAGATGTTACCATAATACTTGATGATAACAATTTACAAAAAAAAAGACAAGACTCTGAATTTCAAGAAGGAAGCAGCAGCACAGGCAGACAGATCTTCCTGAGGTGGAAACGTGGTTCAGAGGAACCGTGGTTCACTGTACCTGCAACAGGAGGGTGACCGGGGCAGCTGCTGCTGTTTGGGAAATTACCTGGCACAGATTTAGCACAAAAACTCTGAGTAACTGTGAATAACTTTTTATGTTTGCCACAGATGGACGACTGCTGAAATTTTGAACATATTTTGGTTTTTATTATTTAGAAAAGTGGGCTATATTTTTTTCAATATTCTGATATAACCAGTCAGTTTTCACATCCAGCCTACGGTAAAAAGGGCTCAAGGGGGACAGAAAAGAGAGGGATAGTATTTTTAAGAGGTTTATATATACCCCACTTTTGTTTCTGTATCAAATGGTACCTCCAAATGCCACAATCCACTGAAACCAAACACACTGTGGAATTTCAGAGTTCCCTACAATTGTAAGAGACAAATTCAACACCTCGGAAATTATAATGCTATTGCCTTGGTCTTGCTTTAACTGAAAAAAAGTTCAAGCACTTGCAGTTTTATGTAAGAAAAGACCAGAACCCTGTGACTGGAAACTCTTGGGACTAAACTAAAGAGAGACCTGATATTTTCCTTGTGAGCGAGTTCTTTGCTGTCTTCATCGTTGAGTCTCTTCTTCCTCCTGCCCAAGCGTGTCCTGCTGTGGATGCTCTGAATTACTAAACCTCGAAGTTCCTTTGTGCTGTATCATGTTGCAGTGTTTCTAGAAAAACTTTCAAAGTTTGTGTGTAATGACCGGGCTGTCATCTCCATGCACATGCGGCCACGCGCTGCTGAGAGCCGTCCCGTCAGCTGCTGACCACCAGCAGGGTCCTCATTGGGAACCAGCCACGAGGTTACCGCGCTGGCTGGCTGCGTGGCTTGCCCAGGGGGGATACAAATGCAGGGCTTTACAGCTCACAGCCGCTGAGCTTAGTCTCAGTGCTATTTGTACTTTTGGTACGCAGTGTTTTTCTGGGTCTCTGTAAGCACATACATACACACACGTAAGGGAGCAAGCTGAGATTTTGTGATTTACGGGAAACAAAGGTGGGGAGCAGTTTCCCCAGGAGACCGTTGAGTGTGAAGGTCCATACCTTTCTATCCTTGCAGAGGGCTGAAACGTTTATTCAATAACTCAGTGTCAGTAGGCTTGAATATTTCCTAAGCAGGAAGCACTGTGTTACCTCCCTGTCTGCTCAAACTGACAATGGCAGCCCAGCGGCTGCACAGTTTGTATTCACTGAATGTATTCTTGTCCTTGACTATTGTTACTCATTAGAAATCCTATTTTCTGTACTAGTTTTTGTACAGAAATCTATTAACGTGGATGTGGAAATATTTGACAGAGTCAACTCAGTGCTCCTAAGCAAAAAGTAGGGGGGGCAGATAACCCCAGTGCTCACCTCCACCCGTGGGCGTTGGGTGCTGCATCCTGCTGCTGCGGGAGCCGGGACCCGGCCGGGGAGAGGTTGGGTGCTGCTGGAAGGGAACAGTTTTGCTGGACAACAAACAGGCAAAGAAGTTGTTTCTACTCACTGTTGTTACTCAGCTGTATGACTAGCCTGAACCATGAGAACTGGCTGCAGGCCGGGTCTTGTCACCAAGCAATCCTGTTCTGTGTTTTTGTCGTTGCTGTGGTGCTTACCCCAGCAGCAGGGGCGGGATGCAGCCCCCTTCCAGGTCAGCCAGCACCACTGTTTGCCAGGAGCTTTAGGGGAAGCAGGTTATTTGAGAGATTTCATCCACATTAGAAGATAATGCACACCATTTTCTGTTTGTTTTTTTTTTTTTTTTTCCCTCTGCAAAATGAGAGAGTAATTCAAACTAATTAGCCCCAGCTTTGTTAGTTAGATTTATTACTGTATTTTCCATGTGTTGCTGCAGCCAAAGCTCAGCTTGGCTCTGAGCTGACTGAAACGCTGACTCTGTTTCCATCGCTTAGGAAGGGCGGAGAGATCAGCTCCTGTCCGGTGTGCTTATGGTATCACCCAAGGCTCCGATCCAACCCCTCAAGTCGGAGCTGTGCAAAGCCTCAGAGTCCCCTGAACGATCCTGAGCTGTGGCTGGTGGGTTGATCGCAGCCAGCCGGCTGCACCCCGGTGCTCCCCTTCCTGCACTGGGTTTGCACACCAGCGTTACTGGGGCACGCTTCTTTATGCAAGTTGTGAGAGCACACATGGAAGTTTTGTTTTAAAGTACTTTTATGGAAATACAGCTGAATTACTGCCTTAAACTAAATCTATTACTAACCAAACCTCACAAAGGATTCAGAAACATCAGAGATGCTGAATGGGCTGAAAAAAGAAAAAAAAAAAAACCACAACAACAAATATGCAGATGATAATTACTGCTTTTGGATTTGTCCTTTATACACACATTAGAACCTTGAAAGACAAAGATGAACAATTATATTGTTGCTAAAAGAGTGTAAGAGATGAATGTATACCCTGGACCAACAACTCGGGGAAGCCAACACCATCCTGAGGGAAAATTCCAGTTATTAACATGGGCTCTGGCTCACTGAGAAACTGAGAGATCTTTACTTGTCTTATACGTTGTGAAGGGGAAAAAAAATCCTTTCTAAATGTCTTGCTTATTAAGCCAGTCATGCATTTCACTGTAGGTTGTAAAGCAGTATAACATGCACAGGGGGCTCATAAGCATATTTTAGTGTTAGGGAATATCATTTATACAGTTTTTATATTGTCAATATTACCCCTAGAGAATGAGATTAGGCTTTAAACTACTGTAAATCCACGCTTTTGCTCACCTTTGTATAATTTCATTTTTTAATGGAATGAAGCCCACATAAATGAATATTTGATTAAGGGATAAACCTAATAAAAGAATACATTTATTGCACACAGATTTATTCAAATCTTTGCTGTATAATACAGTAAAATGCTGTAAAATGGTGTGCAGCTTGCAGTCAGCAAGACTGAGGAGATGGTGAATATTCTTCAGAAAGATAAATTTGACAACATCACATTGTGTTTGATGTGTAAGTGGTAACACAGATGCTCCTCACACTTTAATTCCTCATAGGTGGTTGCTGTATGATGTTGTTAATGCCATGGAGTTGAGTTTATTATACAGCAACAAAAAAGTATTTTAATTTCTGAAGAATAATTGAGAGCTTTATAAAAAAAGGAAATATTTAACTGTGCCCTTTGTGTTTACTGATCAATAATATCTCCTGGGTGGCTGCACTGTCCTTGAGCTTTGGCATTTGCTTTGTCTCTTACAGGTATTCCAGATACTTCCATTGAACTTCCCTTGAGAAATAAAGGGAATAGGCAGGAAAAATTGAAACCTGTTTCAAAGTTTAAATAGTCAGTCCATCAGCCCGCAGTACCCTCAATGACCACCTCTTACCTTAGTTGGAAAAAACAATTTTTAAAATACAATAAAAATATCAAGAATTAAATATATATATTACTGATCCTTACTGATGCCATTCTTGATAAATCAGCTCCTCCCCTGAATGCATGGCTGGATTCCTCCCGTCCTCTTTGTGGAGTCCTTGTCACCAGTGCAGCACCGGAGACGCACACCCGTACGTGGGCTCGGTCTCGCTGTCTGTCTGTGCAAATATCAAACATCCAAATGCATCAGAAGATGCAGCTGACGCCCAGGGGCCATTTAATAGTGAGTTATGTCCCTGATTTCTGCTGCCCCCCTGGGAGCTGGATGGAGGAATCCACCAGGCGTGTCGGCAGATCCCACCCCGTGCGGTGGCTGGGCACAAGATCCGTTTGTACGTCTGGCGCCAGAGCCCAGGCCCTCGAGGAGAGAGATGGGCGGGAGCGGTGCAAGACGTGTGATGCTTTGGCTGCTCCTGTGCAGAACACCGAGCCGCTGCGGTACTGGCTCACAAGACACGCTATGGCAGAATTTCAACCCTGCCTATGAAGACTATTCATATGATTTTTTGAGGGCAGTCATGCTGACCTGCAGCTTCTGGCATGGCTGCCCTTTTTAGAAGCACAACTTTAACACAGGCTGGATCACCTGCGGTGGGAAGAAGTCATGTGCGCCTTCCTAATAATCAGGAGAAAAAACAAAACAAACCCCACGGAGTTCAATATTTGCATTTCTGCTTGCCCCTTCCCCAAGATCTACCATTTGTCCTGCTGAGTTTAAGACAATAATTTTAATCAGCCAAAAGCCTGAAACTGATTTTATTCCCTGCTTTGGAGGTTCCCATGCTCCCACACGTTCCTCCGGAGATGTTCTGTCCCTGGTTCTTCCGATTTTATTCTTGTTTACATCCAAAATACGTATTAAGTCATCCCTGTTTGGAGAGGCTGAGCCTCCTTAAAACCACAAAACATTCAATTACTAATTAGCTGTTTCCTGTTCCTAATGAAGTGAACATGTCGGATTTGGATTAAAATTCAGCTACTGCTCTCCTCTGTTTATAGTTCCAGATGTTTTTGTTTTATCCGGGAGGTTACTTTGACAGCTACTGCTAAATGATAAATCACTCATATTATAGCTGAAATGCATTTTGAAATTGAAATGTGGCAAACTTGGAGATTACTCCAAGGATCAGTGTCAGTTAGCAGGTCAATACTTGTTCTTTCCTTACGAGCGCTCGGTATTGGCATATGTAAAACAGTAATGGGATGGATGTCAACATTATACAAAATGCTTCTCAGTATTATCATTTTGCTATCATCTTCAAGATCAGTACTTGCGGGTTGAGCTGGGTGAATTCATGATTCATCGTATAATGAACAAGAATATGGATTCTTGTTAGCTTTAGTTTCTGTGGGCAGTTTTTAATATTTATTTTTTCTCTGGGCTTAATGTGAAAAATCACACTTGATAGGTACTATATCTAGGAATATTTTTATGAAGGAAATAAATGGCTTTCTACTTACTTGCCTAAATGAAGAAAAATAATTTTAGAAGTAATGTGGCGGTTTCTGAATGAAAGAACAGCTTTCTGAGAACAGATACTATTTACTTCTCTTACATTTTTTATTGCAATGCAGTTTTGTTATAACACACTGTTCCCTAGAAGGATTTGTGCACGTACCTATGGTATGTTGTGAAGCTGATGCCTTGTTACTTGGTCTGTCTTACAGAGGCATGCAATCCAGCACAGGCTGCCTTCTGAAAAAAAGAAAAAAAAAAAAAAAAGAAGGAAAATGTGTTTAATTAAAAAGAAGAAAAGTCAAATAAAAGTATTTATGGTCTCTCTCTGGTCTTTTAGCCCAGCCAAGCACCCACGCCTGCGCCACCGGGTTAGGAGGTGCTCAGTGCACTGAACCTGGCTCGTTCCTCGGGATACCATTCGCCTCTCAAGGGGTTTGCGGGGCTTTGGCAGCAGGTGCCTGTTTCCAGCCTAACGCGTACTCACACGAGGGATCATTATATCACTTGCAGGGCTGATCATTTGTCTTGAGGGGAAAAAAAAAAAGTTCACAAAGAAATAAGGAAGCCCAGCTAAGTTTCAATTAATTATAAAATATGTAACTAATTGACCTTTTTTTCTTCTCCTTCTTTTTTTTCTCTAGAAAACAGAACATACATCAAACCTACTATTATGTACTGAAGGAAACACCTATTGCTGAAAAATGTATAATGATCATTCTTTGAAGACTATATAGTTCCAGAAAAATGTCCCTTCCAACCTTTGATGCCTTCAGCACTGGGTGAAGAACAGGATTTGTAGCATGAAACTTGAAGGACAATTCCAAGCAATTCACTGTTGCTGCATCGAAAACTGCCGTATTGTCATTAAGAAATATTGAGACTTTTTACAAGCTTACCATACCAAACCAAGCCTGTTGCAACAGATCATTTTTAGGTCCCCGGAGATAGAAAGGAGTTTTAGTATTTTTAAGCACATACAGGAATTATACCCCCCCCTCCCCCCCAAAAAAACTTTTTTTTTTTTTTTCTAAGGAGGTAGCTATTACTGTATAGCAATGGCACAATGATTTTAAGCCACAAAGGTCCTCACTGGCTGTACATCATACCAGTCCAGTTTATCACTGAAACTGTTCAACATGGAGCTGTTTCGATTGTGTTTATAAATTAAGCTTTGTTTACTGAAGCAGATACTCGATATATATTACGTTTTAAAAAGAAATGTGTGTACATTTTTTAAAAGAACGATGTAAAAATTGTCCTTTCATTAGACGACCGATACAAAAGTGTGAGCTAAACCCCAATAGCTGACGTCATACGAGGGTTATAATTGATGCTTTTTTTTATGCTCAGTTCAGCTTGGCTTTTGGTCTTTTAAGATGAAAAAAATGAATATGCAGTAGAGTGTTAGATAATGGAAACTTTTAAGTATGGTTTCTCTGTTGTACCATATTAAGTTAAAGTACACATTCTTTGTTAAAAATGTTCTTGCTAAAAATACAGTATTAAAATTTTTTTGTTTGACTTTGGAAATCTTTTAAGATTTTTTTTGACTGTGAATTCCCATAGTTATTGTACTAATGCAAAACAATATTTTGCACTATTAAAAAATACTTGAAGAAATTACTTAATAAAGAGGGTGGGTTAGTATTAAGCATTTTCCTAATTATTGTATGTTACAAATTCTGAACTCTGGAACTGCAACATTCCTTTCTCAAAATACTGAAAGCTGGTTTGAGTCAAGTGGAATTAAGTAATCCCCTGTTCACCCTTAACTTTCATTCTCGGGTCAAGGGCACAATGCTTATTGACTTACAAACTCATATTCATATCCATGTACTTACCTTTACACACACACCCTGAATTAAATCACTGTCACTTAAAACCTTTAAATAGTTCCATGGGGAATATATTTCCTATGATTATGTATACTACTGTCTATAAGCCCAGCATTCAAAATTTCATTTCTTTTTATCACTAGATTTTTTTTTCTGGCTAACAGACTTTTGCCAACTTTCCAAATGCAGCTCCAGCCCATGCTCTGTAATACAGCAGAACAGACTCAGCTGATCTTTCATTCCTAAAAGAAATACTTTGATTTAACTAGGTCTCCACTGAAGAAAACGTTGGCCAGTTTTACAGCTGATCAAACTGACTTTCAGCATAGTCTTTCAATGTACAAACATAGTTTCTTCCATATTATTTTTATTGCATTCTAATAACTGCATTAATCATATTGCTATTGATCAATCAAACTGAATGAGTAAAACACTGCAGCACCTGAACTTAAATTCTGCCCTTGACCATTTATGAATTTTAGTTGCTCTTCCATCAGGATTCTCTGAAATGAGGGTTGGGCCTCATTTCTAAGCCTTATTTTTAAAAAGGACTTGAAACCATCCTTGGGATGCTGTGGCTTTTCTGCCTGCCTGACCGAACTCTGGCACCGCTCCCGTGAGTGGCAGGTTTGGAAGCACGCTCTTTGATGAGTTACCAGTACCAAGACTTAGAGTAACTAAATGTTTCAGTCTTTGAAATGGAAGCATTTTCCTTTAGTCTCCATAAATGCCATTTTAGCTTTTTTAATTCCTCAATGACTGATCTACATTTCTGAAGGCTGCATTGATGGTGGGTTGATGAGCACATCATTGATTTCTGATTTGCCCTTCCCGGAATAGTTTTAAATGTCAAAGTACTGGCAAATGAGATTTAGGGAGCTGATAAACTTCAGAGACTGAATCTGCTGTTAAGTCCTTGTTAGATAGCTCCTGAGAAATATTGACAAACCCAGACACGGAGCTTTATTGTGTCAGCCCAACCTAACGAGCACACTTACCAACACTTGCTGCTGGAGCAACGTATTAAAGCCAGAAGAAGCAACAGGTTTGGCCAACTGCAGCTGAGTAGTTGATATAAAAGTGCACATTTCAAGTTTTTTATATTACATGTCACTTTCTGTCATCTCAGTAATATTCCAAATGACACCTTCCTGAATAAGGATCTGGCTGAGCATTACACTGACCCAAAACCTTTTACGTAGTGGTGCTTTAAATGGGGGAATGATCTCTGCAGGAGTTTTTTGGAGAAACCAGATCCTCCAGGGCAGAGCAGAGCAGGGCAGTAGGCAACGCAGCCTCACCGCACTCCTCCTCACGTGAGGCAACGTGCTGAACGCCCCGCTGGCTGCACCGCTGGGAGCCCGAGAGCCACGTCACCTCTTTGAGATTTTTTGGCTTTGGGTTGTTGGGTTGTGTTTTTTTTTTTCTAAATGAAGATGCCCGAGAGGAGTAGGACTGTGGCTCTGCCCATTTCCTCAGCACCTCCTAAAAGCAGAGGGACACCAAGAATTGATTTTGATGATTTGGGCTACAGAGCTGAGCTGGGGTGGGCGTTTGCAGGGTGGGGGGACACTGCTGAGGACCCCACAGCCCCTCTGCATCTGCCTCTGTGACAGCGCCAGTTTCCTACAAAGCCTTTGAAACGGCATCACGGCCATCCAGGTGCGAGGAGCTGGGCACAAGGTGAGTTAATGGACGATGTGTTTCAGCAATTTTACAAATCGTGTGTAATGCAGCCTGCTATCATAATAAACTCCAGCAGAATCAATAGTGCCCAATCTCCATTTCAACTCTGGATCTATAGCAGCACGCGGCGAGAACGCTCTCCTTCAGAAATGCACGGCTGGGCATTGAAAGCTGGATCCTGCTTTAAGTAATTGCTGGATACAAGTAAGTGGCCCATTAATATATTTATTTACAGGATATTTTTGGTAACATAACAAAATGTGGGCTAACCGGAATTGGTAGGAATTCCCTTCATGGCCCCAGCTGCTCTCCACAACCTCTCCTGTGCCTGTGTGCACAGACTCAGCCCTAAAATATAAGCGGGGTAATGCAGCTGGCCCTGGGCTGAGGAAGGATTTCCTGCTGCTTCTTCCTCCGGCGGTACCGCAGCATCCTGCCTGTGCCGCTGTTCCTTGCTGGGGTGAGGAGGGAGGGAGAGGGAAAGGAATTTACACATTTTTTTTTTCTTAAAGGCAGTTCATGTGCTACCATCATTTGTTATACATCATACTACAGATGTTTAGGCACTTGTAAAATCACCATTAATAAACATTTTTACTTCAGTTCTGCCTGCAAATAAGGGTGTCTTTGATGAGTTGAAGCTGGAATGGAAGGGGAGAAAAACAAATATTTTTTAAAATGATTAATTTATAGCTGAATTGTGAATTACTGCAGTTTGATATTTGTACATCAAATAAATCAATTGAAATGAGCCAGTTCAGTGTCAGCACAGCACAAACGCTGCAGCCTGCTCCCTTTCCACTAGCCCATCATCCATTTCTGCTGCTGTTGGCCAGCTGATGCTGGCATCTTAACAGAGCATCGTTTGCATGAATGCTGGAGCGTGGTCATCTAAGGTAGGGAAAACACTCTTTTTGGAGCTCATTTTTTAAAATAAAGAACAACTCCCATTATATATAGATTTTGGCTGGTCAGAGGGATGGTGGAGACAAAACAGCCAGAGAAGTGGCAAGTTCCTATTGAACTATACAAAACTGGCCCAGCTTTGCCTGGAGCTTTAATCTCATTACTACAAGGGCATGTGCCTGAAATGAATTTTCCCCCCATTCCACCAAAGTGGCCAAATAGAAAGGAAAAACCATTGGCACTGGATGAAACAAGATGAATTACCTAAAAAGAGAAGAAAGAATAAACAGGAATGAAAAATAAACTTCAATTCACTCCAGTGCCAGCAGGATTTGGCATTTAACTTTAATCATATGTTTCATTCTGTATCAGGAAGAAATACCTGTTTCGCGTTTCCCCTGACGATTCCTGCCATTAGCTGAGAGTCTGTCTATTCCCAGAGCTGTGCTGCCATCAGTTGATGATGCTAGGGCACTTGCCGAGCTGTTTTGGCAGGAAAAATGTTCTATCATTCATCATATTATTATGAAACATAATATTTTGCTCCATAGACGAGTCCAAAGTAGTTCCATATAAATTGTTGCATTCTCTCCCTTGGTGTCAGTTGGTTGGGAGCAGGGGCAGAGGGGAACCACATCCTAGAAGGTAAGAAAATAGACAAAAAAACCCTAGTAACTTAAATAAGAAGGAATAAACTCCCTATTGGATTTTTTTTAATAGTTCTATAAAGCTGGTGAAGACAGAAACGGTACTGAGAGATTTTTGGTGTCAGATCAGCGCTTTGCATTTTATGTGATCATTTACACCTCTGCAAAATAAGGATTTGATAGGATTTGACAGCTGATTTATTAGCATTTGACACCTATATTACACCCGTTGAAATGACTCTACAATGTGCAAAGCAGTGGAAGAAAATCACTGATTCCTTTCAGGGCTTTTTCCTGCTAGTTTAATACTGAGGCTCCGTTCCAAAGGAAAAAAACCAAAGTTCCTCACACCCTGATTGTAATTCTTTAGTTCTTCTAATATTTATTATGTTCTGCTCATACTAATTTGGAAAAAAAAAGAAAAGAAGAAAGAGAAAAGCAGTTGTGTTTAATGTGCAGACCTGATTCCCAGGCACTGGCTCTGAAGGCAAATCAAACCCAGGCCACGCTCACCAGGAAAAGGAGGGCTCTGCTGTTGTGATGGGGAACGCTGCCGGACTGAGACTCTGGGTTTATAACAGAGCTGGTAAGTTAATTGCATATTTTGATAGTAAATAGTTTTTCAAATAAACAGAAATTTTCACCAAATGGAAGTTCTGGTTTCACTGAAATTATTTTTGGCTTCTTCAAAGCAAACCCTCAAGAATCTCCAAAGCCACAGTGTTGCTTTTGCACTCTTTTGAAGACAGACTCTGCTCAGAATCGACGTAAGAAAGAGGGAGTGGACTTCTCAGGTTTAGAATGATTAAAAATAGTTGTACCCACTAGAAAGAGGGAGTGGACTTCTCAGGTTTAGAATTATTAAAAATAGTTGTACCCAGTGGAAAAAAAAAATCAATGTCAGCAATATCATCTATGTGCATAAAAAGTTCCTGGAGCTCTAAGTTTAGATAAAGAATAAAAGACCTTTCCCCAACCCAGGAAATCAAGGCCAGTAAGAAGGATGGTGACCCCAGTAAAAGGCTGGGCTAAATGATGTACACAGTTCGTCAAGTGTGTAATTATTTGCAATGCAATTGCCAATGTTATGTGTTGACAGGATGTGAGATCTTAATGAAAATAGTAATACTGCTTGCTCCTCTGGTACCAGCCCCGTTTCCAAAAGAAAAGCCTCTCGGATTTCACACATCGCAGTCGCTTTTCCAGCTAAAAGGATGCG